GGGGCAGGATGGAGCAGAGGGAGGGGGGAGGAAGGGCCTGGAGGACTTGGGCTTTGACCTCGGGGAGGACAGACCAGGGTCGCCTTCTAGGACAAAGTGGAACCCCAGGAGCCAATGTCTAAAACTGGCTGGTGACACCAGGCAGTCGGGAATTCCAGGGCCTGGCTTTGCTTCTGCCTTTTCCTGGCTGGCGTGGGAGGCGGACGTGGCGGGGTAGAGCCAGCTAGATTTTGGGAGCCATGAGAAGGCCAGAAAATAATGGGGCCACGCTGGGTGGGTGGCCACTTCTGGAAACTGGGGCCCCGAAGCCCAGCGGGAATTCTAGGAAGGAGGCTTTAGCAGGTCTTTCCTCTCCACATCCAAAATGTGAAGTAGTATGACCGACTGTCTGTCTGTCTGTCTGCTCCCAGCCACTGCACTGGACCAGGGTGACGCTCACAGGACGGGCACCCGCATCTCCCCTTGGGCCTCTGGACATCTGAGAGTCCTAAACCCAGTGAAAAAATTTTGTTTTAATTGTAAAGTATACACAACATAAAAATGATCATTTTAGCCATTTTTTAGTGTTCAGTGCATCACTAAACCCATCCATAGTGTCATACTGCCGTCCCCACCGTCTGTCCGTTTCCAGAACTTTCCATCTGTCCCCATTAAGCACCAAGTCCTGTCTCCTCCCCTCCTCAGCCCCTGGTCCACAAGTCCACTTCCTGATCCTGGATCCTCCTGTTCTGGACGTGTCCTATCAGTGGAGTCACAGGCTGGGTGCTTGTGTGTCTGCTCCTCTCACTGAGCACAGGGTCCCTCCATGTTGTGGCCTGTGTCAGAGCCTTGTCCTGTTCCTGGCTGAGTAATATTCCAGTGTGTGGATGGACTGCATTGTGTGGGTCTGTCTGTCTGTGGACTTGGGCTCCTTCCATCTGTTGACTGTTGTGAATCATGCTGCTGTGTACATGGGTATGCACAGCATACCCATGCTGTGCTGAGTCCCTAGTTCCAAATCTTTTGAGAGTGGGCTCAGTAGGTCATACAGTCATTCTACATTTAGCTTTCTGAGTGCTTCCTGCTACCATTTCACCTCCTGCCAACAGCTCAAGGAGTTTCTGCTTTCTCCATGACAGCAGCCAGAGACTTTGAGAAACAGAAGGTAGATCTGGTCACCTCGCGCTCTGTGTGCTACAGCATAAAACTCAAGTCTTGCGCCTCTGCCCCCGTCCCAGCCCTCCCTTGGTGCTCCATGCTCCTGCTGTGTGGTCTTTGTTCTCGTGCAGCCCACGTTTATTCCAGGGCCTTTGCGCATGCTTCACTGTGTCCTGAAACACCTTCCCACGGCTCGCCCCCAGCCGCCCCCAAGCCTTCCCCTCCCTTCCTTGCTCCGTCCCTGCCTTCAGTTCTCCGCCATCTCCCTGACCGGGCAGGGTTAGGCGGATGCCTGCGTATGCGTGACCTCACGCAGCTAAGAGCAGCCCAAGCATGGCCTCCCATGTGAAGGGAGTCGCCAGGCAACGGAAGGGTCAGACCAGCAGCCACCCTGGTGGCACCTTTGTCCTGAGCTGGGACAGACTAAATTTGGGCTCTGGGCCATGGACAGGAAAGAAGGGTTTGTTCATACCTGGCTTACGTTGCTGTTGTGGCACTGGGTCATGTGTTTGTTTGAGCAAGGCTGTAGGGACCCATGTGAACACTTCCTGGACCTGGGAAGCCAGGAGGATGGGTCCCTGGCCAGTGGAGGACGTCACCTGAAATGGAGCTGCTACAGAGCAGCAGGGGCTGGCTCCCTTATATTAGCATGTGTGTGGTTATCTGTGCTTAAAGGCTCTCATGTGTGTCTCTTTGGAGAGGAGAAGTTGGAGGAATGAGGGGAGAAAGTTCCAGGCAGAGGCTCAGCCTGTGCAAAGGCCCTGGGGCAGGACGAGCCTGGGTGATGGAGGAGCAGCAAGGAGGCCGTGTGGCTGGAGCAGAGGGAGCGAGGGGGACAGAGGGATGAGGAGACAGGAAGGGGACAGGCAGTTCGTGCAGGGCCCTGTGGGCTGCAGGGAGGACTTGGGCTTTGAGCCTGAGGGAGGTGGGAGCCATGGAGGGCTGTGGGCAGGGGAGACCATGTTCACTTAACCCAGGTCTTACAAATTGTTACCACCGAGACAGCATCTGGAGCTGGTATGGTGGGCTCACGCCTGTTATCCCAGCCCTTGGGAGACTGAGGCACAAGAATGAGGAGTTTGAGACCGGCCTGGGTTATATGGAGTCTCAAAAAGCAAATTAATTAATTCATTAAAGCAACCAAAAGATTTGGCCACCTCATCCCCCAAAACTGGGTTTTTTCTGCTTGTTTGTTTTTGTTTTTTTTCCTTCCTCAGAACCAGATCAGGGTCTCCCTTTGGGCACTGGGGACACCCGGCCGGGTCCTTTTCTGTAGGGTGTCCTGGATCCTAAAGGGCTGAGCAGTGTTTCTGGCCTCCACCCACCGAGTGCCAGGAGCTCCCTAGTCGTGACTGCCACACGCGTCCCCAGACATGGCCCATGCTCCACTGGGGGACACAGGGGCAGTCACTATTTGACCTTGACCTTGACACCAGCCTTGGCGAATGTACTTTCTGGGCTGGACCTCAGTTTACCAACCTTGCAAACTGAGCAGGTGGGGTCAGTGGGTGCCCCCAGGGCGCACAGAGCGTCTGGGGTGTGTTTTGGCTTTGTTTATTTTTTCCAGTACTGGGATTTGAACTCGGACTCGCACTGGCTGGGCAGGTGCTCTGTGGCTTGAGCCACGCCCGTCTGCACAGTGTCACTGTCAGTGGCTTCCAGAACCTACTGCACTGTGCCTGTGAACTGCCAGCGACCCTGTGCACTTAGGTCCCTCACCTGGACACCTAGCAGACCCTGGACAGTGCGCTTTGTTACTATCCCTACTCTACAGGTGGGAAACTGAGGCAGGACTGGCCCTAGCCCAGGGCCACTGTGGGGGTTTTTTTCGTGTGTGTGTGTGTGTGGGGTGCTTGTTGCTTATTTTTTGTTTTGTTTGGGATTTTTGTGTTTGTTTGTTTGAAACGGGGTCTCACTGTGGCCCAGGCTGGCCTGGAACTCTTGATCCTCCTGCCTCAGCTTCCCCAGGGCTGGGATTACAGGCATGAAGTAGCACACTTCACTCATTGTTCTGAATTGATACAAAGTAACAGTGTGGGGACAATGGCAACAGTGATGGTTACAAAGTCGCAACAGTCATAGGCTGCCTCAGGAGGAGGGAAGCACTTGTTTGGTGCCTGTTGCGTGGCAGCCACTGTTCCAGGCAGGTCATTGTCACCACGTGTCCCCTTGTTAAATAACACGGTCTGGACCCATGGTGCCCTGGGGGACGTGCTGTGGATGTGCCCGCTTCTCAGATGGGATGGAAAGAGTGAGGTGGGAGAGTGAGGCGCACAGTAGGTGGTTAACAAACCAGTGCCCGACTCTGTGCCTGCCCAGTGTGTGGGCGCTGTCAGGAAGGTGGTCCCGTGCCCAAGGCTGGGAGCCTGGACAGCTGACTGCCCGGGCTGGGCCCTTCCCAACTAAGGCCACTGTGCCCAGCCTGCAGCCATCCAAGAAGGGCTGGCTGGACGTGAGGGGCTGTAGCTGCCCAGCCTGGGAGCCGCCCAGGGCGCAGGGCTGAGCCAGGCACATTCCCACCGGCCGCGGCCCAGCCGCCAACGCCTCGCCAGGGAGAGGCTGTGCCACCCACTCTGTTCTCTGATTAGGAAACTGAGGCACAGTTAGACCCGGGGCCTGTGGATGTCACACAGATGCTCAAGATGCAGTGGACAGAAGCCACACCTGTCATCCCAGCACTTAGGAGGCTGCGGCAGGAGGATGGCAAGTTCGATGCCAGTGTGGGCTACATAGCGAGACCCTGGCTCAGTCAGTCATCAATCAATATGAGAATGAAACAGGGACAATAGGAGTATCACATTTGCAGCTCTGTTGAGGATTTACAAGTAACAATAAACAGATCACGTCCCTGACACTACCATGAGTGGGACCTCAGTGTGCCCCAGGACCTTTGCATGTGTTATCTCCTTGCAACCTCCGTGTAACCCAGCAAGGCCTGGGCCAGGCGCCCACCCATTTGGAAGAGGAGGCGCTAAGCCTCCTGCCTGAGGTCACACAGCCATTGTGTGGCACGCCGGCTTTGTGTGTGGGGCGGGCAGCTGAGGCTCTCTGGAGCAGTAAAGAGTGATTCCTGCCAGGTGCTGGTGGCTCACCCTATAGTCCCAGCTACTCAGGAGGCAGAGATCAGGAGCATCACAGTTCGAAGCCAGCCTGGGCAAGTAGTTTACGAGACCCTATCTCAAAAAACCCATCACAAAAAAAGGGCTGGTGGAGCGGCTCAAGGTGTAGACCCTGAGTTCAAACCCCAATACCAGAAAAAAAAGAAAAAAGAAATTCTGCCACCTCTGTCTTTGACCTGGGAGCTAACCAGCATGGCCAGGGGAGTGGGCCTGGCCTGGCCTGGCTGTGTGCTGCCCCCACCCCCAGCCCCTGGCTCTGCAGTGGGAGCAGCACGCATGCGTCCTCCATCCTGGTTGCCGGAGCCAATAATGCTGACCTCAGCGTCTGCCTGCGGCTCCTGCTCCGTCTGCCAAAGGAGTCCGATTATTTTTAGATAAGATGGATGGGGGTTGGGGGGAAGCATGGGCAGAGGGAGCCCCTGAGCCAGGAGAGCGGGTGGGGGCATGGCAACCACAGAGCCCGAGGCAAGGGGACAAGAGGCCTCAAAGACTCACCTCTCTACCCTCAGTTTCCCCAGATTAAAAGACTTATTTCACAGATGAAGCTCAGAGAGGGCAAGTGACTCGCTCAGGGCTACACAGCATAAAAAGGGCAGAGGTGGGGTTTGAACTTGGGTTTTTCAAGGCACCAGGTATTCACGCTCCTACCCACGATAAGCCACAGACGGGGGAGGCCACGGTCCTGCGCATAGGTACACACATGGAGGTCCCCACGGCCTCAATAAGTCTCTCCTCTCCCTGCAGATGCTGAGCAGAGCAACAGTCCCCGGGCGGGGATGGGCTCAGACCAGGAGGACAGCAAGCCCATCACGCTGGGTAAGTCCGGGCAGGGGGTGTGGGCAGCCAGGGATTGGGGGGTCTCAGCCCACCCCAGCTTTCATTTAGGAGTCCTTTGCTGAGAGCCATCTGCACGAGTGTGTCACAAACGGGTTCTTGTGGGGTGGTGGCTGCTGCTGTTCCATTTCACTGATGGGTAAACTGAGGCAGAAGACCTTCCGGGGCCTGTCCAGGGGCCTCCCAGTGAGCCTCAGCATCTGGGCTCAGAGATGCTTACACCCAGGGACACCCTGAAAGGTCCTGTAGTCCCAGGGGACATTGGACAGACAAATCAATGCCAGGCTGGGGCTGGAAGGGGAAGTTTCCCTGAGGCAGGAAGTAGACTAGAGTCCTGAAGATGAGGGAGGCTGCAGGGGTCCATGAGCTCCCGCCCCTAGACCACCTAGACCAGCTCAGCCCTCCAGCACCAGCCCTTCATCCCTCTGTCCTCCTACAGCAGCCACCAGGGGGCGCCCATGAGCGCTGAGTCAGGTCCCTCCCTCCTCTGCCCACAGCCCTGCATTGCTCCCACCTCCCTGGGTTCCCCTCATTCCCTCTGCTCCAGCCACACGGGCCTCCTCTCTGTTCCTCCAACACACCAGGCTCTGTCCTGCCCCAGGGCCTTTGCACAGGCTGTGCCCTCTGTCTGGACAGCTAACTGCTCTCTCTCTCTTTTCCTCCTGTCCCCCTCTCTCTCCAGGCTTCCTGAGAGCTTAGCTCAAAAGTCCCTTGTCAGGCAGTTTTTTCCTGAACCCCTTCAGCTCAGCACTCTCAGCCACTCTTGGCCGCAGCCCTGTTTTATTTCCTTCCAAGGAAGTTAGTGATTGCATATGTGTTTGCTTAGTGATTTGATGACGTGGGCAGTTATGTCATCTCAGGGACTCAGGTTTTGTGTGTCTTGATCACTGTTGTGCCCCTAGTGTCTAGAATCTGGTACACAGTAGGTGGTTAATAAGTACTTGTAGAAGGAAACGAGATTCAGACCAAGCAGAGAGCAAAAGAGAAACAAGACAGGGAGAGGAAGGAGCAGAAAGAAAGAAGGAAGGAAGGAAAAGCGGGTGGGTGAGGTGTCCCCGTGGGAGGGACCAGCACAGGCGTGGGTGGCAAGGCTGATGCTTCCAGAGGCCCACGGGCCATAGGCCACTCCTCCTTGGCTCCTGGTGTCTTATGGTCCTGCGTCCTGCATCTGTGACCTCCCTGCATCCTGCGATTTCCAGGCGCCTCCCTGCAAGCCAGATGTTGGAGGGAGGTGGGGCAGTGGCTGTGTCCTGGCCCCGTGGGGACCTTGGGCGTCTGGTGGGGGAGTCTTGTCTTCCCGGCCTGCCAGGGAGTCCCCCGGAGATGGAGCTGGGCGGGCGCTGCACAAACAGGAAACCCCGGCGGGGGGAGGGTGGCGGGGACAGACTGACAGCAGCTGGCCAGCTGGGTCAGCAGGAAACGGCTGTGGCCACTTCCCCTGGACACCCTGGGGCCACCACCCTGTCCTCCCTGACTGTGGCGTCCCTCCCAGCATCAGGCCGGGAGCAGAGTAATTGCTCAGTGACTGGCATGTGTGAAGACAGTCACGGGTGAGGTGGGGTTCCTGGAGGGGCCAGGACTCAGGGTTTGGACAGCAGGAGACCCGGGCACTGTGGCCAGCTCCCGGTGGCCAGTGCTGCCCCCTGGGGGCCAGGAGAGGGACTGTTCACACTGCCACCAGCACACATCCAACTTCTGCCTGATCGTTCTCTCCAGACTTCCAACTTGTCTGGTGTTGTCCAACCCCAGGGCCTTTGAACAGGCTGTTCCTGCTGCAGCAGCTGTCGCTCAGCGCAGGACGGGGGGTGCCAGACACTACCCTCGGCTCTGCAGAGCTCTACAGATCTCTTCCTGGCCTTGGTCCCCCCTTAAGGTCACTGTAAAGCGTCACTCGATTGGGGTTGGCTCTGATCTCCATGTGTGACACAGCTCCCCCATGCCTGCTTCACCACCTGGTGACACACCTCACTTTGGACTTTGTGGGTGATTTTTAAAATATTGTCATAAAATATACATAAAATACAAAATACATCCTTTTAAACATTTTAAGTGTGTAAGTCAATAGTCTTAAGTACAGTCATGATGCCACACAGCCATCACCTCTGTCTAGTTCCAGAACATTCCATCACCCCAAAAGGAAGCCCCATCCCCGGGAGCAGGCACCGTCCCCTCCCCAGCCCCTGGCACCCATGAGTCCACCTCCTGTCTCTGGATCCTCCTGTTCTGGACGTTTCCTATCAATGGAGTCACACACTGGCATCTTTTGTATCTCCTTCTCTCACTGAGCACCGTGTTCCCAAGTTCCCTCCACACTGTGGCATGGGTCAGAGCCTCGTCCTGTTCATGGCTGAGTAATAGTCCAGTGTGGATGACCTCACCGTGTGGATGACCACGCTGTGTGTGTCTGTTTGCCCTTCCATGAACTCTGCACCTGCTGTGAATTGTGCCCTGTGGATACTTTTTTTTTTTTTGGCTCAGTGACCTGAGTGTCCATCACCCACACTGAACAGTGAGTCCCAAGAGTCCAGTGCAGCCTCCGTCCTCACAGAGCCACCACCCAGTGCAGACTCACACCCCGCAGGTGCTCAGGACACGCACACTTGGTTAATGCGTCCTTCCTGTGAGAGGCCCATTTCCACCTGACTAGGTCATCTCTGTGAGATGGGTTTAGACCACCACAGCCCAGCAGAGGGTCCCCTTCTTTTGACGTCGGGCAGAAGTGGTTCTGAGCCCTTGCTGTGGACCAAACTCTGGTCTGGTCATGGACTGTAGAGCCAGGTAGTCAGATGTCTCTGCATGATGGAGGGGGTAGGACGGACGTCAGGTGTCACTGTGGATGGTAAATGGAGAAAGAAGCAGCAAGCCCCTCCTGGGTTTCTGTTCTTCAGTTTTGACATCGGGGACTGTGGAGGCCTAGCGAGGGCTGTTGACTTCCCCAAGGCCACCCACTCCCGAGGGGAGATTAGCACCCGGGCCTGGCCTCCTCTGGTGAGTGCAGCCTGCCACAGTTTCTCCGAGGACGCTGCTCTGGAGAAATGGGAGCAGCCCCCACCATACTAGAAGGGGCTTCCCTGGCCACTGTCCTGCCTCAGGGATGCAGGGGTGGACATGGTGACTGACAGGTGTGGGCCAGCCCCAGGAATCCAGGTGGGATGTCAAGGAGGAAAGTTGGCCTGGCTCAGCCTGTGCCCACTCACCCCTACTCTCTCTCTGTTCCAGACACCACCGACTTCCAGGAGAGCTTTGTCACCTCTGGTGTGTTCAGTGTCACCGAGCTCATCCAAGTGTCTCGGAGTGAGTGTCCTCATTGGCTCTGGGCTGGGATTAGAGGGGAGAGGGCATCTCCCCTCTAATGGAACTGAGAGAACAGGAGGAGCCCCCCCAATCGCCCTCATCCTCTTCAGACACCCCATCACTCACAGTTCCCAGGAAGGGAGATGACCATGCTGCTCCTAGGGCCCAAGGTTAGGGTGACCTCCCCAGGAAACAGGAGGCACCCACTTGGTAGAAAATGCTAAAGAACCTTCCACCCAGCTGAGCACCTGGCTCACGCCTACAATCCCAGCTACTCAGGAGGCAGAGATCAGGAGGGTCATGGTTTGAAACCAGCCCCAGAAAATAATTCTTCAGACCCTCTCTTGAAAAACCCCTCTCAAAAAAGGGCTGGTGGAGTGGCTCAAGGTGTAGGCCCTGAGTTCAAACCCCAGTAGTGAGAAAAACAAAAATCCTTCTACTCCAGCACCCATCCTTCTTGGGGCCTCCACCTTCCCAGAGACCCACCTCCTGTCCCCTAGCCTTCCCTACCACACTTCCTCCCACCCCAGTGGGCTCTGTACACTGTCCAGACTCACAGACCTGGCCTCCAGCTCTGGCTGTGCCTCTGCCTCACAGTGCGACCTTTACCTTCTGACTTACAGAAGGAGGTTTGAGCCAAATTAAGAACCAAGGCAGGCTCGGCATGGTAGCTCACATCTGTAATCCCAGACACTTGGGAGGTAGAGAATGGGAGGATGGAAGTTCGAGGCCAATCCAGGCAAAAAGTTTGTGAGATCCCCCCCACTTTAACCAACGGCTGTGAATGGTGGTGCACGCCTGTCATCGCAGCTATGTGTGAAGCACAAATAGGAGGATCATGGGCAGGCCAGCCCAAGCCCAAATAGGAAGGCTGCAGTCCATCCTGGGTCGGGCATAAATGGGAGATCCTATGTGAAAAATAACTAAAGCAAAAGGGTCTGAGGATGCAGCTTGAGTGGTAGAGCACCTACCTAACAAGCATGAGGCCCTGAGTTCAAATCCCAGTACCGCCCGGCCCCCTCCCCCCCAAAAGAAGAACCAAGCCAATTTAGGAAAGGATTCTCCCCCACTTTGGACTGCCCTAGAAGGCTGTCCCACCCCTGGGCCCCACCCCATCCCTCACTCCTCTCCATTGCCCTGTGCAGCGCCTGTGGTGACCGGAACAGGACCCAACTTCTCTCTGGGAGAGCTACAGGGGCACCTGGCCTACGACCTGAATCCAGCCAGCACTGGCATGAGAAGAACGCTACCCAGCACCTCCTCCAGCGGGTATGTGCTTGGCCTCATCCTTTAGGCATTTCATGACCCACCCACCAACCCATCCCCCTCCAGCCCCTGCTGGCTTATTCTTCTCCCTGGAATGCCTGTTTTCACAGTCCACCTGGTCTAAGAAACTCCTCCTCATCCTTCAAAACCCAACCCTTAGTACCTCTTCCTGACAGTTCCCTTGGCCAGCCTCAAGTCCTACTGGCTCAGGCACTAGGGCCCCCTGAGAATGCAACAGAGGTTCTTGGTACGGTAGGCTGCACAACAGTGAGATAGTCACATCGACAGTGAGTCGGTCACATTACGTGCCTCAGTTCCCCGTCTATACAATGGAAATGGGATCATAATCCTCCCAGGATTATGATTTTAGTCTCCAGCCCGCTAGCTCGCAGTAGGACCTGACTGCAGTCCCTCCCCGACTCTACTCCAGGTGCCCCATCCAAATAATGGGCAGGTTGGAACAGGTGCTTAAAGACAGCAAGCGGAACATCTCGCTACCGCAATGTCTCACGATAACACCTTCGCCCCGCCCACTACGTGCCGGAAATCAGCAAAAGTCTCCGCCCCCTGCGTCTCCATGGTAACCGGCCTTCCTTTCTCTCGCCCCTTAGGAGCAAGCGGCACAAATCGGGCTCCATGGAGGAAGACGTGGACACGAGCCCTGGCGGCGACTATTACACCTCGCCCAGCTCTCCCACGAGTAGTAGCCGCAACTGGACGGAGGACATGGAAGGAGGTAGGACTGGTAGAGGAGGTGGAGACTTAGCCAGCCTTCCGGTCGGGGGCGGGGCGGGGGGGGGTGTGAACGCGCGCCGGGACTACATATCCCGACAGGCTCTGCGCAGACGCCGGGAGCGAGAGCCAGTCTGCAGCCGCATGACCGCCTCGGAGCTGTGGTCGCATCGGCTGCGTGCGTCTGGAAGTAGAGTACGGGCTTACTGTTTCCACATCTATTTAGTTCCTCTCAGGCTAGGAGGGCTCGGACGGTCCCTTGCAGGACTCGTGTTAAAACTCCACGTTTTGTAGGGTTCCTGAGCTTGACTCAGAGATTCTGATCATCAGGGAGTTTCTTCCTGGAGTCTGCCATAGAATTCCTCGTCTGTGGGGACCCTACTTGTCCTCTGCCCCACTGGAGGGTCCTAGGACATAGGATCCCTTCTCTTTGGGGTCCTCTCTTCTGTAGGGCTTCCATTCGCATGGCGTGAGTCCTTTCCCAGGGGCTTTTGCTCTGTTGCTGTTCTGCCCTCGCGGGGTGCTCCGCAGGGTGGATTTTCGGGGACTCCTGTGGGGTCGCAGCTCCTTAGGGTCTCTGTTCTGTGGAGTTCCAGTTCCTCCGCCTCTGTTTACTTACCTCCCCCACGGCTGTGTCCCACGATTTGCCTTTGGGGTCCCGGCCCCCGCCACGGATCTCGTCTGAAGTTTCTTTTTCCAGTTCGTCTGTGTGACCTGCGGGCGCCTGCGACTCTGAGGAATTGGTGTGCAATCCCTGTAGTGTGCCGGAGAGGTCACTGGGGTCTGTGCCCCATATTCCAGAAACATTGCTGTATGCACCCCAGTATTCTAAAGGGCTCACCCCAGGTGGTTCCAGCTTGAGCTCTCAGTCCATCCTCCTGGAGACATAGGCCAGCCCCTTTGCCTCAGTTTCCTCTTCTCTAAAAAGTGGGTGTTCATATCTGCAGTACCCCTCTTGTAAAGTTGTCGCAGATAATTCAGGGAATTAACAGCTTGTGGTCGCGATGCAGGTCCCACACACAAACACCAATATTTTCTTTATTCTCCTCTCTCCTTCCTCCCCATGCCCGCAGGTCTGCTTTCTTAGAAACGTGTCTAGAGAGTGCCATGCCTGTAAGGTTTTTGAAGAGTGCTGTAACACGAGGATTAAAAGAGCAGCCAGGCGCTGGTGGCTCATGCCTGTAATCCTAGCTGCTCAGGAGGCTGAAATTGGGAGGATCGAGGTTCAAAGCCAGTCCAGGCAAATAGTTCATGAGACACCCCCCCCATCTCCAAAATAACCAGAGTAAAATGGACTGGAGGAGTGGCTCAAGCAGTTGAGCTCCTGCTTTGCAAGTGGAAAGCCCTGAGTTCAAACCTTAGTCCCACAAAAAAAAAAAAAGAAAGAAAGAAAAAGAAAAAGGAGCAGGTTTAAACTAGGCATGGTGGCACCCAGCTGCTCCTGAGGAAGAGACGGGAAGATTGAGGGTCAAGGCTAATCCAGAAATAACTTAATGAGACCCCTCTCAACCAATGAAAGTTGGATATGGTGGCATGTCATCCCAGCTACAAAGGAAGCTTAAACAGAAGGGTCACGGTCAAGTCCAGCCCAGGCATAAACGCAAGGCCCTATTAGAAAAATAACTAAAGCAAAAAGTGCTGGAGGAGGGTTCAGGTGGTAGAGCACCTGTGTAGCAAGTGCAAGGCCTTGAGTTCACACCCAAGTACTGACTCCCCCGAAAAAAGCAGGAAAGAGGGGGAGTAGCTTGGGATGCTAGAGTGCTTGCTTAGCATGCCCAAGGGCCAGGTTCAATTTTATTTCCACAGAAGAAAAGGGCACACTTTGGCACTGGGTTTGAATCCCAGCTCTGCCACTCACTTGCCATGTGTGCTGTGTCACTCTGGACAGGTGACTTGACTTCTGTGACCCTCCATTTCTGTATTTCCAACTGGAGGTGATGAAAACAGAATATGCATAAAGCAGCCACCTGGCACAAAGGAAATGCCAGAAACCGGGGGGGTTATTTCTGTTCATGTCTTTATAAAATTCCCACCTCCTCCAGTCGGTTCGTGTTGCATGTGGTTGGAAATTTAGGTCCTAAAAGTGTCCAAAAGTGAGCTGTCGAAGCAGGGCTTCCCTTTGTCTCTCTACCAAGTTGTGATTTACGGATCCTAGGGTCTCTGTGGCCCTCCCTGGGTTCCCTGTCTCCGACTGCTTTGTTTCTGTAAAGGTCCTGTGTTCAGTGAGCTTAAGTTTGCTTGTAAAATACAGAAAACCTGCAGGATGGTGCAGTTCTGTCATAGGTAAATATCTGTCCATAGTATCCCTGGGGAAGTGCGGTATGAAAAACACCTTCTGCCCCATGCTCCACTGAGTGTGCTTTTTTCTTCCCACCTTGTAGTCCAGGATGACTGCTGGTGTTCCAGCCATCACATTTATATGCCGGCCAGCAAAACAGAAGCAAGTGTGGCATACTCTCACTCTTCCCCCTTTTAAGAATTTTTTTCTTTTGGCTGTTGTGGGGTTTGAACTCAGGACCTTGAGCTTTCTAAGCAGGTGCTCTTCCACGTGAAACACACCTCCAGCCCTCCCTTTAAGAATTATTTCCAGGTGACCTCAGTAACTATCTTTCATGGGCACCTGTGATGGGCTGAGCCTTTCACCTGGATTAATTACCCTTCCCAGCTGCATTTTGTGAGGTCAGTGCTGCCTGGTTGACAGCTGGGGAAACTGAGACCCAGAGATGGGATTCTCCCAGTAATGGTGACCAGGGTCAATAAACATGAGCCTGCTCTCCTGTGGTCCCTACCAGTGTCCCGTGAGGTTACAGGGGCTGCCCCCCACTTTGCAGAATGGGAAACTGAGGCCTGATAGGAGAAGCCACTCACCCAAGGGTACAGAGCCAAGAAGTAGCAGAGCTGTAACTTTCCCAGCTCCCCGCCCTTCCCACTCCAAGTTCAAAGAGAGCAGAGCTGTTTATTCCTTCAGAATAACTATGTGGGGGAGCTATGTCCCCTGGGGGTGGCCAAGGACAGAGTCCAGCAGGAGCCTACAGGAGTAATGAAGGAGGAGGTGGCCAGGTTGGCCAGGCAGGAACAAGCGGAGCCCTGGAGGCTGCTGTGCCCTACCTGGCCTGGAGGTCCCCCAGCTGGAGTGCTGAGAAACAGAGCACAGTGAGGGAGAGAAGGAGAGAAAGAGGGCCAGAGGGAGGGAGGGAGAGAGAGAGAAAGAGAGAGAGAGACACACTCTGATCAGTTTAGCAGCCTTAATGAGCAGGCTAATTGGGAACTGTCTAGACAGGAAGCTGGAATGGAGGAGCAGGAGGGCCACCCGGTGACTCTGCCCCCAGGGGACACTGGGCCATGTCTGGGGGCAGACTAGGGAGCTCCTGGCCTGAAGTGAGTGGGTGGAGGCTGGGGATGCTGCTTAGAACAGAGAACGAGTCCCAGGCCACTGTGTACAGTGCTGGGCAGTGCGGCCCTCAGTGCACGGCTGGTGCCGAGTGGACACTGGCTGTCCTCAGCAGAACCCAGTGCCCATTGGTCACCTGTTCAGTGTTCTGGATCAAAGGCTGTCAGTGAGCTGGGCAACCAAATGGGGTCAGGTGGACACACAGCCTGGTGTTAAAACAGAGAGCAGAAGCGAGACCGTGGGCAGGCCTGCTTATTAGAGGGGCACACAGGATCACACGGGCACACAGGGGCACAGATGTTTGTCAAGTGTGACAACAGCTGCTCAGGCCCCGGAGAGCGGAGGGAGGGCATTGCAGACCTGTGTGCTGAGTGTACAGACACACAGGGACCTACTGTGCCCATCTGAAACAGTCCCTGGGGAACTTGGGGCATGTTTGCGGGGCTCTCAGGGACACTTATGTGTGGGAGTCCCCACAGAGCCTGCCTGGGAGCCCAAAGGGCTGTTGTCTCTCTGCTCCACAGCAGACTCAGCTGGGCTCCCCTCCCTCATGCACCACGCTGGCTCCCACGGTCCGTCAGGAAGCTATGCAGGATGAGTGTGCCAAGGCACAGGGGTGGCTGGGCAGCTGGGTGAGTCCCTGCCAGGCTATTTCCATCCAGCACAAGCTGTTCTAGGAAGTCATCCTGAAAGAGAGAGAGACTGACAGCCTAACCTCATTCCCAGCAGCCCATGCCCGCCAGCAGGAAGCCACCCTTGCACACACAGCCATGTGCACATGCAGCCTGCAGGGCCAGCCACCCCTCTGCTCCAGGCCACCCTGTCCCAGGGACAGTTCAGGCCCTGGCTCACGGGCCAAGCTCGACTGGTGCCAGGTTGGCAGTGGGCCGCTTAGCACAGCTTGGCCTCCAGCCTTGGGAGCATTACCCTTCCCAGGCAGAGCCAGCACAGCAAACGCCTCACCCTTCCTCCCCCATGTTGCATGTCTAGGTGCCCATCCTCATGGGGGACAGGTGTCCAGGGGTCCCTGGGCCCTGCTTTCCTGCTGCTGGGACTTGTCCCGGTGACGCATTTGCTGTCAGACAGGTGGCGTGTGCAGGGCATGAGGACAGCTGGGCTCTAACAGCCAAGCATAGTGGCATGCCTGTCAACCTAGCATTGGGGAGGTAGAGGCAGGAGGATCACAGTCTGAGGCCATCCTGGGCTACATAGAGAGACCATCTCAAGAACAACACAGAAAAATAAGACAAGCAGGGGCTGCATGTGTGAGGGCCCTAGGTGTTCGGTCACTCTGGACTGTGGCCCTTGCAGAGGTCAGAAACTCCCTAAGTATATACAACAGGCAGGAGGGATGAGGACAGATGGACATCCAGCAGGACACCCAAGGGACAGTCATGGTCTCTGAGGACTACAGGGTTCTGGGCCATGTCTGGGGACAAGTGGCTGTCACAACTGGGGAGTTCCTGGCATGGAGTGGGTGGAGGCCAGGACCTGTTCAGCACCCTGCAGAGCCCAGGACACCCACGGAGAAGGACCCTCCCATTGTCCACAGCCCCATAGGGACCCTACAGTAGGAAACCTTGGGCCGGGTAAAGGGGAAGCTAAACCGGCTCCCTGTGTAAACAGCATGTCTAGATGTGCTTTACCCTGAAATGGCTTAAAACTCATTCCTAAAATTGTGACCCTCCCAGCTGTGCGTACCTGACATTCCAGTTTCAGGCAGGGGACGGGCCTGAGGCCCTGCCTGTGGGAGGCAGGGGCAGTCCTTTGTGGCTTGGGACCTTCCCTGGAGGAGGCTGGGTTGGGGTCACAAGGAGGAGAGGACGCGACAGGCCCAGGTCTTAACAGCCCAGGTTCCTCCTGAATAAGCCCGTGCCCAGCTGACCAGGGTCTCTGTGGGTCCAAATGTGCCTATTTGGGCACGGGGTGAGAGGTTCTTGCACTGCAGGGCCCGGGCGTGTCCCTCCACACCCACGCCAGTTCCTGGGAAGTCTCTGAAGTAGCCCTCCTGGTGGCGGTGATGCCCTTGGCTGTGTGCTGGGTTAATTTTCAAGGCCAAGGGCATGAGTGCCAAGTGCATCGTCCATTTCTTCACTCAGTCATTCATTGGGGGAGCTCAGCTGTGGGGACTTCCCACGACCAGGGCTGTCCCTGCAGCCTGGGGACACAGTGAGGCCCCATCAGCAGAGCTAGCCGGGCATTACACAGGACAGCCGCATCTCTCTTAGGCCCTGGGCTCACTGGTGCTTCTCCCAGTCCTGGCCTGCAGGAGAGGCACATGCTTGGAGCCCTTGGGGCATGGCACGGGCCCTGGGCTTGTAGGAGCCTTTCTGGGCTCTGGACTGGCCCTTTCTGCTCACTCCACTGCCTTGCCCAGGGGCCCAGTGGAGATCTGGCTCCTCGTCCCTTGGGCTAGGCCACCCTGGGCAGACCCCAGGTTCCTCGGTTTGCCCCTCTGTAGAATGGGCTCCTGGTCCCTGGCCCACTGGTTTCTGGGAGAAGAGAGCCACGGCCGTCACTAATCCTGCAGGTGGTGGCTGTAAGGGAGGTATGCAGACACTGCACTACAAGCACCCGTGACTCTGTGCTCCTCTTTCCTCACAGGCATCTCGTCCCCAGTGAAGAAGACAGAAATGGACAAGTCACCATTCAACAGCCCATCCCCCCAGGACTCACCCCGGCTCTCCAGCTTCACCCAGCACCACCGGCCTGTCATCGCCGTGCACAGTGGTGAGTGTCTGGGGTGGGTTGTCGTATCACCAGAAAAAAACAGGTGCCTGAGGCCTGCTCCTAGCTGTGCCAAGAGGTGTGACAGTCTGTCTGGCCTCAGTTTCCCTGTCTGTATAACAGCACACTGCGTGTGGCCTCTCTGTATTCCAAGAGGTCAGGCCCATTGCACAGAAGATGGGCCAAGGCTCAGATTAGGGACAGGGCCTGCCCAGGCCTCACATGTCCCCAAAGGTGAGGGGGGTCACACAGATGTAACACGAGGCTTCAACACTCCAGCCACCATGGTTGGGAGCCAGTCCCTGTGCACCTCACCTGCATTTCCTCATCCGTCAGTGGGGAGGTAAAATTTCCCACCTCCTAGGGTTTCCTTACGCCCAAATACCTAGGTGTAAACTTAACAAAGGATATGAATGACATCTACAAGGAGAATTATAAACCACATGAGGCGAATCGAGGAAAGCCCCGAGTAGGGTTTGTAATCTGCATTAGGGTGACAGATTTTTTTTTCCTTTTATGCATATGTGCATACAATGTTTGAGTCATTTCTCCTCCCTTTCCCCTGTCCCCTCCCTCTCCCCCCCACCCCCTCGCTACCAGGCAGAAACTATTTTGCCCTCATCTCTAATTTTGTTGTAGAGAGAGTATAAGCAATAACAGGAAGGAACAAGGGTTTCTGCTAGTTGAGATAAGGATAGCTATACAGGAAGTTGACTCACATTAATTTCCTGTGTGTGGGTGTTACCTTCTAGTTAATTCTTCTTGAACTATCCTTTTCTCTAGTTCCTGGTCCCCTTTTCTTATTGGCCTCTGTAGCTTTAAAGTTTCTGCGTTAGATTCTTTGCATTAAGGACATCAAATGCTATCTTGTTTTTTTTGAGTGTC